AGGAATGAGGGATAAGTGACCTATTTTAAAAAATGGAAGATACAATAAGGGGGAATAGAGATCAATATTGGACAAACAGAGGTCTAGTCACATAATACTAACAAAGGCTCTGGTACTGCAAAGACCTACTCATGTACCTAGCTATGACTAGTCCCATTGAAGTCAACTCACATGACTATTCACAGTGTGTAGACTGGGATATACTGAAGAACATTTTATAAACAATCTCTTATCTAATATAAATGCCTCACAATGCACTAGGAGTTCATAGGAAGATGGAGCCAGAAAAAACTGGAATCTGTCGGCCTGTTGTGTTGTCTCCGTCTTCTCTTCAAGTTACAAGTCTGGCGTTTTCAGTCTCCTTCCAGGAAATGAGATTCATAGCCCAGAAAGAGCTTAGTCATTTCTGTCAGTGAGAAATATTTGTTTTGTTCTTTTATTGTTTGGATGGAGGAAGGGATTCAGGTGCAAGTACAAACAAAAGGATTTATTTAATGTTTAAAACAGATTGTTTGGCTCAGATTTTTATCACTTGAACTCAGTTTTTTGGCTGCAGAATCAAGATCTGATGCAAAACAAGGTCTAGCTGCAATATCCCCTTTCCAATGTCACCTGCTTTGCAGCAACTAGGCCTTTATTAAACAACTGCCATACTATGTTATGCTTAGTTAGAAATGGTTGAAATCTTTCATTCATATCTTAAAGGAGAGGGAGTGGGGAATAATTCTTTAATGATAAATGGTCTTTTCTCAAAATTGAAAACTTTTGCAATTAGCTTTTCCTTTTCAAATCTTTCCTTTTTTAAACATCTAGTCTTTCCCTAATCTTTTTTTCTTTTTGCAAATAAATTCAATAAAATGAACGATGCCCAGATTTAAGGGTTTTGTCCCACCCACATTTTCATTTTTCTTTATCTTTTTATTTTCCCTATTGCCAGTCTGTAATTTTAAAAAACTTCTTCAAGTTCTGCACATGTGACATGTCACCACTTGGTATGAGTTTCAGAGTGAGCCTTTGAGCTTTGAGGAGTCAGAAATTGCAGATTATCTTGCAGCTTCTAAGCAGCTATGAATATCCAGGGTTAGTAAACCTATTAAAGTACACTGATAAAAACAGGATAGTGCACATTTAAGCATAATTATTTTTCAAGACTAAAAAAAATTGACTAGAAGTGGCCATGGCCATTCTCAAGCCCTCTGAGATTTGCTTAGATGATATGATGTAGAAAGGCTCAGTTTCTCTTTACTCTCAGTAGTATTTGTTGTCATCCCTAACTTTTTACAAAGAATTACTTCACTTATTCGGGGTATCTAGACTTTTAGGGATTTCACTTTTAAAAGAGTTTAGTATTGTCGAAAATCAAGCACAAGGTGTTGCAGGGTGACAGAAGTTAGGGCACCCAAAAGTTAAACTCCTAAATGCAGTGGTCACTTTTGAAAACTGCAGCACAAAATAGTAGTGACTTACCTAGCTTCTCTTGAGCATTGCCTTAGGTATGATTTTTTTCAGTTTAATTTTTCCTTCTTCTAGTGCAATTTTCCTACCTCTAGTGGGGTAGGTTTTTGTTACAGAGCCAAGAACATTGTTCAAAGTGTTTTCTTAAAGTAGTATTGGGTGATTAATGTTGGTCAAATTATCATGTTACTTTTTAAGTCATAAGTGCCTTATAATATAAAACATATTTTGTATGTCTTGGTGATGCAAATAAATACGTTACTGCAATGCCTATGGTAAGTTATAAAAGATGTTACTATCACTGAACTGATGGCAGAATCTGTCTCTCACACAGTTTTGAGCCACTGTAATTATCTGTTTTCATAGTGATTGCACTGGTTGATTCAGCAGTCTTCTGGGTTAAAATAAGTATTTGATTCTTTGACCAGCTATCCTATCTCTCTCCTTTGAGCTATCCTTCTTTCTCTGTTTGTTATAACTAGTACGGTGGGGCATAAATTTTGCAAACCTTTTTTACTCTTTGTTAATGGTCTGTATGCACATACACGTGTGTACCTGATAAGCACTTATCAGGTAATCAAGTTGAGAGCCCCCTGCCACTCCATGTTGCTGCTCTATATCAGAGGCAGCAGCGCATGGTACCAGGTAGGAGCTGGTCCATGAGGGGAGCCAATTTAAAAACCAGCTCCCCTTGCAGACCGGCTGCCTGTTACCCTGCACTGCTGCCTCTGATAAAGAGGCAGCAGTGTGGAGTGGCAATAGTCCCTGTCTAGGAGGCGTATGAGCTCCCGGACCTGGCGCAAGCCAGAACTGAGCTGGGCTGCCTTCCTGCCCAGATCCTAAAACACTTTAAATGGAGAGCTGCAGCAGGGGTAGGACCCGGACCCATCGCAAGCCAGGACTGAGCCAGCCTGCTAAAAAATGTAGTGGCAAAAGGAGGGGGGAGGGAAATGTGTGTAGTCTATAGTATTAACCTAAAAGCTTTTGCTTATCAGTTAATTGGTTAATCAACTACACTATTACATCCCTAATGCATACATCCCAATCAGGGATCACACCTTTCCTTTGTCATAGGTGGAACATGTAGTTGGCAGTAATATATTCTAATTGACTGTGCAAATTGATCTGAAAAGTGGATTTATTCAATGAGATGATGTTTAAAGTGAATTCTATAATCCAGTGGATCCAAAATAAGATTTTTGTTCCTTTGGAGTTTGATTATTGTTATTAGTACTATAGAGTAACTGACCTAAAATATCAAATCATACTAACAGTTCTAGCCTTTCATGTAACTGCATGTTGCAATCAGAATGAAAGATAGTGGGGGGCAAAGGACAGTATTTTGAGGAGTTTGCAGCAGGGATGTAACAGTATAGTCGATTAACTGATTTACTGATAAGCAAAAGCTTATAGGTTAATGCAATAGACTACATGCATTTCCCCCCGCCCCCAACCAGTAACATTTTTTTAGCAGGCTTGCTCCATCAACTCCCCTGGTGCCTGCTGCCTCCCAACCCCTCACCCTCCACTGCTGTCCTGACTCCTGCCCTTCTCACTGCCTTCAGCCTTCCTAAGACCTGCCCCCCCTCCACCAGCCCTTCTCTCCCCCCTGTGCCCACTCCTCCAGTAGCCCCACTCTGATCATCTGAGCTACCTCTCCTCATCCCCTCTTCTAACACCTCCCTCTACACACCTGCCCTGCCTCTCTCCTCTGGTGCTGGTCCCTCCCCTGCAGGTGTCTGCCCTTCTGCTTCACCCCCAAAACCCCTTGCACCTGCACCTTCCCTTACCCCTGCACCTTCCTGGTGCCTCTCCCTTCCTTCACTGCCCCTGCCCCCTTTGCCCTTTTTTCCCTGATGCCCATTCTCCTCATGCTCCAACCCCACCTTCCTCATGCCTACCCCTTCTGTCAAGCCTTCTCCCAGCACCTCCCCCTCCAATCTCCAATGCTCTTACCCTCTCCTCTTCCAGCATCACCCTGTCCCCCCTCCCACTGACACCTCCCCTCCTGCTCTTTTCCTCATTGTCTCCACTTCGCCCCCTAGCATTTGTGTCTCTTTTACCCTGTCCATTTGGTGCCTTCCCCTTTCCTCCCCCTCTCCCCTCCTCCTCCGTACAAGCCCCTTCCACCCCTTCCCCTTTCTTCCTCCTCCACCCTCCCCCACCGCAAAAGCCCCTTTTTCTCCTACCCCTTCCTCTTATTCCCCCCACCCCTTTACCTTCAGCTTCTGCCTTACAGCTTGCAGGGCTGGAGTCAGAGCCAGCCCAAGCTTCAGTGCTGGGGAGGAGCACCCTCAGGACGCCACACGGTGCTGCAGGGTCGGGTGGGGATGCCCCCGGGGTGCCGCACGGTGCTGCAGGGCCGGGCGGGGACGCCTCCAGGGCTGGGCACCGTGCGGTGCTGCTGGGACAGGCTGGGGCACCCCTAGGGAGCTGCACGGTGCTGTAGGGCGGGGCCCGGACCAGCTGTCTGGAGTCAGGTCCCAGCTGCTTTTGGAGCTGGGCTGCTCGTTTTAAAGTTCCCAGCTTTCCCCTTTCATCTGTTGCGCGGCGTTTGAGGACGCCACACATGCACTTTCTCTGCTCCCTGTTGCCCAGTAGATGGCTGTGGGGAATTTAAAGTGAGGGGCTGTGGTGCTCCGTCACAAATCCCCCCTCTTCCTCCAGCAGCTGCTGGCTGGCCCCAGACATTAGGGTGTGCCTGAGCACACCCGGCACACCCCGTGCGCACGCCTATGCTTACATGTTAAAAAGCAGAGGACAAAGAGGCAGGTGAAGTCACCATGCTGAAAAGTGAAATGAAAAAAATGCATCCATTTTACCTGCATGTTTGCTCCACTAAGAATCTTTTGCTATACTCATGTTAAATCACATGCATTGTAAAGAAACTGCTTTCGATTCTTGACCCCAGTTTTGTCTGCTTTGTGCTGTTGTGGAAATGCAAAGCAATAAGAACCTGCCTTGTTGTTTATAATTTGTAGTACAGGCAGTCCCTGGGTTACGTACAAGATAGGGACTGTAGGTTTGTTCTTAAGTTGAATTTGTATGTAAGTCGGAACTGGTACATATTGTAGGGGAAACTCTAGCCAAACATTTCTCCAGAGCTCAGTTTTATTCTCCCACACCTCACTTCCCTCAGTCCTTTATTCTCAAGCTGAGGTGTCTGCTGAGAAAAGCCGCTCTGCGTCTCACTGGTCTGCTTGGGGGGGGGGGGGAGCTAGCTTCACGTCTCCCTGGTCTGCTGGGGGGAAGCAGCTAGTGCGGGGTTGCCTCACCCCGTTTGTAAGTAGGGATCCGATGTAAGTCGGATCCATGTAACCCGGGGACTGCCTGTATAGTAGAGCCTAGAGAGCCTACTCAGGGATCAGGGCCCCATTGAGCTAGATGCTAGACACACGGAGAGAGATGAGATGTAGAAAATAAAGACTCTGAGAATTTTCTTTAGCCTTTGGAATAAGTGGATCTTTGGACTATATATATTTTGTATGTGCTCAGAATTTAAAAAGTTTTGTATTGTGTTTGCTAACAAATTTATTTTATTTTAGAGTCTAATTGCAGAGAAACGCTTCTTCATCTCACTGTAAGATTTGGCTTGGTTAAACTCTCGCAGTTCCTGTTATCTCAGCCTGGTGGGCTGCTAGCATTAGCTTTACCTAATGAAGCTGGAGCAACGCCATTAGATCTGGCTTCACAGAATGGGCACTCCAGACTTGTTGAAATCTTCATGAAGTGAGTATAATAGTCTGCTACCGCTGTTAAATTGTTAGCTGTTAAAACTGAAGAGCAAAATTTTTTTCAAATAGTTTAAACTGAATTTCCATTTCTGTTTGTTGTTGCCAGCCTTGCTTTTTTACATGTGCAGTCTTGCATTTCTTGTTAAAAATAAGGATTTCGTGTATATCTTCCTTGGCAAGTATGTGGCAACTGGTAGAATTTTTAACAATAATATAATGGTAAACATACAAATCTAAATTTGGTTCAAACTCTCGATTGATAGAAGGAATTCTTTTATTTTTTCCTTTTTGGAGTAAATAATTTGTTTGACATCTGACTTAAATCTGTTGTTTACACAATTAATGTTTTTAAAATGACACTGTTATTTTTGGATTTGTGGGAGCTCAATGCAAAATTGTACAATAGCATATAGTCATTTTTTCATGACTATCTGAATGTACATAGCCTTTAACTTACCTTTCTAGTCTGAAAAGTATATTAAGGAGGTTCCAAAAGGAGGTTTTGGAACAAATTGATAAACTTAACAGTAACAAGTCATTGGGACCCCAGTTGGCATTCACCTAAGAGTTCTGAAAGAACTCAACTGTGAAATTGCAGAACTATTAACTGTGGTTGGTAACCTAATCTTTAAATCAGCTTCTGTACTTAATGACTGAAAGATAGCTAATGTGACGCCAATATTTAAAAAGAGCTCTAGAGATGATTCTGGCAATTACAGACTGGTAAGTCTAACATCAATACCGGGCAAATTAGTTGAAACCATAGTAAAGAATAAAATTGTGAGACACATAGATGGACATAATTTGTTGAAGAAAAATCAACATAGTTTCTGTAAAAGGAAATCATGCCTTACTAATCTACTAGAGTTCTTTGAAGTGGTCAACAAACATATGGACAAGGGGCATCTAGTAAATATAGTGTACTTAGATTTCCAGAAAGCCTTTGACAAGGTCCTTCACTAAAGGCTCTTAAATAAAGTATGTTATCATGGGATAAGAGGGAAGGCCCACTCATGGATTGGCAACTGGTTAAAAGACGGGAAGGTAGGAATAAATGGTAAGTTTTCAAAATGGAGAAAAGTAACTAGCGCTGTCCTTCAAGGGTCTGTAGTGGGACCAATCCCATTCAACCTATTTATAAATGATCTGGAGAAAGGGGTAAACAGTGAGGTGGCAAAATTTACAAATGATACTAAACTCCTCAAGATAGTTAAAACCAAGCAGACTGTGAAGAGATCTCACCAAAGTAAGTGATTGGGCAACAAAATGGCAAATGAAATTTAATGTTAATAAATGTAAATTAATGCACATTGGAAAAATTAATCCCAACTATATGGGAAATAATCCCAATATGATGGGGACTAATTTAACTCTCAGTACTCAAGAGAGAGATCTTGGACTCATTGTGGATAGTTCTCTGAAAACATCCACTCGATGTGCAGCAGCAGTCAAAAAAAGCAAACAATGTTAGGAAACAGTTAAAAAAGGGATAGAGAATAAGACAAAATATCTTATTGCCTCTATATAAAACTGCATACAGACGTAGTCACCTCATCTCAAAGAAGGTCTATTGGCATTGGAAAAGGTTCAGAAAAGGCCAACAAAAATGATTAGGGGTTTGGAATGGGTGGCATATGAAGAGAAATTAAAAAGATAGGCACTTTTCAACTTAGAAAAGAGGAGACTAAGGGGGGATATGATAGAGGTCTATAAAATCATGACTCGTGTGGAAAATGTGAATAAGGAGAAGTTATTTACTTGTTCCCATAACATAAGAAGTAAGGGGTCACTAAACTAAATTAATAGGTAGCAGGTTTAAAACAAAAGGAAGTTTTTCTTCACTTGGCACACAGTCAACCTGAGGAACTCCTTGCTGGAAGAGGTTGTGAAGACAAGGACTTCAACAGGATTCAAGAAAGAACTAGATAAAATCATTGAGATTAGGTCCATCAATGGCTGTTAGCCAGGACGGGCAGAAATGATGTCTCTAATCTCTGTCAGAGGCTGGGAATGGGTGACAGGAGAGGGATTGCTTGATGATTCCCTGTTCTGTTCACTCCCTGTAAGGCATCTGGCATTGGCCACTGTTGGCAGACAGGATACTGGGCTAGATTGACCTTTGGTCTGATCTAGTTTGGCCATTCTTATGTTCTTATGAAAAGTGATATAGAAATGGCACCTTTTTTTCCTGTTTGGAGCTGCTCCTTCTGTACAGAGTTATATCTGCTTAATTTAATGACAAAAATAATCTTTTTCTATTGCTTTTTCTGTAATACCAATGTGGCAAAAAGGAGGGAGCTGTATTCTATTCCTTTTTTGTTTCAGCAAAATTGTTTACTAAGTTCTAATTACAAGTTTTGGTGGGGCAAAAAAATAAATAAAAATCTGTTACTTAAAGAAATACTTCATGAAATGGAAAGATAAATTGAAAACCATTTTTGGAGTAACTTTAAACATTTATCCCCTGCAGTGTTTGCAGCCCAAGCACAAGCTTTGCTATCACAGTCTGTTGCTGGTGCAACAGAACTAGAAAGTGAAACTGAACACTCTCAAAAGTGGAAGTTTATTTTCATTGTCCGTGATCTGGAGATGGAAAGAAGCAGTACAAAAGTGCACACACTATTTAAATGATGAAGATCAAAGTAACATTTTTTCCAGATGTTTGCTTTAATAAACTGAAGTGCTGTTGGGAATCAAGGCAAGGACATTTGTTTTAAAAAAAATACAGTTGATTCCCAGCTTTACAAAGATTTTGAACGGGGTGGGCAAGATATGGCCTATAGGTGAAATCTAGCCTGCCAAGCTACTGGATCTGGCTCGAGGGCTGCCTGATCCAACCGGGGGTCCATCCAATCCAACCTGGGCTTTAGGCGGCTGCCTGCTCCCTGTGGCTCTCTGCTCTGGGTGCTGGGGGAAAGGGGAGGCTTCACGTGCTGCCCCCATCCGCCACAAAAATCTCTCCGCTCCCATTGGCCAGATGGCCTCAGGTCCTGCAGGGCTGCTGGCTGGGAGCTGCCTAGGTAAACACCTCCTGGCCATAGTCTGCTTCTGGCACCCAGCCCTTCCCTCCCTTAACTCCCTGTCCTAGGTTACCACGCCCTTCTGCCCCACATCATTATCCAAACCCTCTGCGCACCCCCAGATCACAACTGCATCCCAGACACTGTACATCTTCTTATACCTTTCCCTCAGGCCAGAATCCACTCCTGTACCCATATCCCTCTCCCAGACCCTGCATCCCATTCCCGTGCCCCGGGTCATCACGCAAACCTTCTGCACCTCTTCTCCACCCCTTTCCCAGGTCACAACTTCCTCCCAGACCCTGCACCTCCTCCAACACCCCTCTCCCAGCCTAGAATCCTTTCCTGCACCCATACTCTGCACCTTATGCTCCTGCCCCAGATCACAACCCCCTCTTTCACCCAAATTCCCTTTGAGTCCACTCCCTCTCCTGCACTCCACTTCCCTACTCCAAGCTCCCTTCTGCACCTAATCTCTGTCCCAGACTCTGTACCTCCTCCATAGAAAAATGCAGCTCTTGACCACTTACCAAATTCTTGGGGTGCCCCCCAATCAAATATGATTGCCCACCCTTGGTCTTGGAGGACTGAACCATCCGTAAGACAGAAGTTTGAATAAATGTAGGTGATAAGTATCAACCCAGGCAGAGCTAAGTTTCTGGAGTTGTCAGGGAGCTTTATCCCTGATCAGTAAATTACAGGACTGAAGCTTCCAGGGACCTTAATTGTTTGAAGTTTCAGATGTATGGATTTTAGGACCTTTATTGTATTTGCATTTGTCCGGCAGTACCAAATTAATCACATTCCACCACCAGAAAGTTTTCATTAGAAATGAAAGCCGCAAGTGAATAGAAAATATTACAGGCAAAAGTTCGGTTACATTTTTCTGTTGAAATGGAGCTCTTTGGTTTATGGGTCTGCACAACATACAGTGTGTGTGTGAGTATTGTGCCTTTTTTAATTTGCATGGGAAAATGACTTACAATGCTGCTACAGTACATTTTGTTATGAATGTCTCATTTGTTTGTAACATCCAAACAGTGCAGTGTTCCCTTGAGACACTCTGTTTTTCACTGTAATCGGCTAATAAGCCTGCCAGTTCCTTCACACTACTATATATGGCAACACTGTCAGGAAAAGCTACTTTTTCTATTTTACAATAGAAGGGAAAATGAGATGATGTTTTGTGTTGCTGTTTTATTTTGCTGCCGTTATTCCTAATGTAACCATTTTTTTTTTTCATTTTGGTGGCTTGCAACAGCAGAATTTTCTTACGGTGAATAGATTCACGGGTAATTATTTCTTCATCCAGATGTGTTTTTCATTCATGTTTAATATTTTCTACCTTGGAATTTTTTTACAGTAACTCAGGGTGCTGTGCACCAATGAGAACAGAAAGTTCTGTGTGTTTATATTTTCATTGAACCCATGCGCTGAGCATACATTTTGATTTAAACAGCGTGTTGTTTCAGTTTTCAGGGCAGTCATTCATTTGACATTTCTAGAGTTGTGATCAGCGAGTATACTTTCCTACAGTTTGCTCATTCATCAAGAACTCTGACACTGACATTTAATCGCACCACAGAACATTTGCTGGAGTCTGACATTAAGCTTTTCAGGAAATACTTCTTGGATCGAACCTCTCTTTATAAGGTAGGTGCCAAAGCAGGTTTATACTCAGTGTTTTTCTTGGGTATCTTTTTAACTGTGCAGGTTTTAGGAATTTTATGTGTTGGGTCTGTAGGCAAAGAATCATTGTCATTAGCTTTTAAACTGTTCTAAAGTGGTTATTTTCACATATGAAAAGAAGTGTAGGAAAAATGTTAGATGAGTACTTGATTAAATTCTCCCATTTCTAGAGACATTTTTAGAATAGTCCTATGGTAAATACCTTTCCTAGGAAACCATTTATCTCTGGGTTTTAATCTTGCCTTTTCTATTGGTGTTCTTGCTTGTAGTAGGAGGTATTATTTTAAAGTTGTTGTTACTCTTTATAGCAGCATGGAGTTCCGGTCATAGACCGGAACCCCGTGGTGTTCTAGACATTACACGATCACAGACAGGAAAGAGAATCTTGCTCCAAAATTCTTACATTTATATTCTATTTGCTATATTATATTTTGGTCACTTTAATCTTGATTCAGTGAGACATGTAAGCACATGTGTAACTTTAGCATAGTGGGTGAGTACTGAAATGGACTTCAATGGGAATATTCAGATATTTAAAGTTAAGCATGTGTAGGGCCATCCTTACTGATATGCAGCTAAATGGGGCACACGAAAATTTTGGGCACCACTGGGTCTTAATGTTCACCCGCCCGCCTCTTCCTAGCCCTGTTTAATAGCTCTGCTCCCTCCAGAGAGGATCTAGTTAACTTAAAAATGAAAAAGCTTTCCAGGACTATTAGCAGAACATTGAACTTATGAAAGAGCCATTCAAGTGGCAATGAAGCCATTTAACAGGCATTTGCTATCCCCAGGTATATGCTGTCAATATCTGAATTTACTGCATTAGTCCACTGTACAGGACCTTAGTTTAAACTTTCTTTGAAACTATTTCATTAGTGTGTTGCTGATGATTATAAAATCACATCTCTAAAAAAATCACATCATCATCCTGTGTGCTGTCATCTGGAATAGTGACACTAGTTTAATAGTTTTGTTTAATAGTATTACGAAGGGCCCTAGAAATCTTAAGGATGTCCCTCGACATGTGCTTAACTACTTTCCTAAATGTGAGCCTTTGTCTGTATCAAATTATTGAATTAAAAGGGTTATATAAAATATTATTTGTTTTTCCCTTTCTTGTTATTGATGTTCTGTTCTGTTTTTGCTTTCCTGTTCCATGTTTTTGTTTTGTTGTTGTTTAATTGTTTTTAAACATTTGATCAAAATAGCTATAATTTTAAACTAAAAATGAGCTACATGATATGCTTTGATCTTTGCATACTATTCTGTGTGTTTGTTTTAGAACACAGACATTCCTTTTTAGTTATTCCCTTGCTTTCTAGGCTTTCCAATATAAAATCTGACCCCAGATTCATAACTCTAACTTGTATACAACACCTTTCACACAAGTGTCCTGATTTTTTTAAAGCAAAAACAAAATAATGACAAAGATTGTATTATTGTTTATATACCTTGCACTCATCAAACCCTGTGGGTTTTTTTTTTAAGCCCTTGGGGGAAGGAGGGAGAAAATGCTAATCGATTTACCATTTTGAAAGTATCCATGGCAAATATTCTTAGATTAAAGGTTGCCAAATTCTACAATGATTGTTATGCTCACTACAGTTTTCTGCCAGGCATCCAAGTGGGATTTTCCCTCTTTCTGAAGAGACAGATACAGACCTGTTTTGTAGCTCAGCTCCTCCTCGTTGTGAAAAAACACTAGAGATTATCCTTTCAGTGATGCAAGATTTTTAATGGTAGACTTGGTGAAACCTAGGTAGCAGAAACAAGCTGCTATATCAAAGCATATGGTCTTTTTATTTATATATTCTACAGAGCCTAGGGAATAAAATCGTCATTAACTCTATTTGAGAAATTGATATACACCCCAGAGGTCACCCTGTCTGATCAAACTAACTTAGGCTAAGAAAAGAAGGGTAAATAACACTTTTTTCCCTTTGCTTGTTACAGTCAGGATCACCAGTCCTCATAAGGGGATTTTGACAACTTTGAAAGCTAAGTGGGAAGAGGGCAGTGAAGATTTCAACATAGCTTATTTTGAAATTAGGTGTTAAATTTACAGCGTTCAGTGCTCCTGCCATAGTCTGAAGACTGTACATCTAACAATGTCTTGAGAATGTATGGATAAATGAGCTTTTTCGAAAAATCTGCTTGTAGTCTAGACACTCAATTTCAAAAGAGGCTTGTAGTCTAGACGTAGTATACGTGTTTTGTTAGTCTTCAAGGTGCTATTAAACTATTCGTTGTTTTTTTACATTTTTTTTAATGTACCTGTTTTACTTTCTTTTGTGTGTGCGTGCATACATGTATGGTGTACTAATACATATGGGTATCCAAGAAAGCTATTGTTTGAATTTGGTGTTTATTTTTAGAGTCTTAATTCCAAACAAGCTGGGACAGTGGAAGGATCACAAATGCCCTGCAATTCAACAGATTCTACAGAAGGTACATATTTCTTTTTTTCTTTTGTTGTAATAGATTTCTGAAATCCTAAGTAAAGCAGGATGTGTACTTGTGCCATATATTTATTTAGGAGGATTACTTAGTGTACATGATATCAGAGGACTATGCAAAAGATAGGCATTTCATTATAAGGGCGGTATGAAGTCATGCATGCTACAGACTTATGAAATAATTAATTTACCAGTATGAACCTACAAATATTCACAAGAATTTCTAATGACCAAAAAATCTTTTAGAAAGGATGTTAAAAAAAATTACAGCAGTTAGAGAAACCTCACTAAAATGCCAGAAGAGGGCAGCATTCAGCTGAAATAAAAACAAGTCAACTCACAAGATGTTCCAGTGAAGTAAACAATGTCTGGTTAATAAAGATAGGAGTGGATTAAAGAAGACTGAATTGAGCATTTTATGGACAATTTTGGTGCTCAGTCCTGAATGCTTTACGGTGGCAAAATTCCCAGGCTTTTAAATGAGTCTCTCATATTTATTTCAATCACAAGTTTGCCTGTAGAAGGGTTGTAGGATATTGTTTTGTGGGCATAATTACTTTTCTGTATCAGATAGATCATAATGAGCTTTGCAGACCTTGTAACAAGAAAGTCCTAGCACAAAAGAGTTATAAAAAATTCACTAAAAATCTGTAATACCCTGGTCTGGCATTGAGTTAATGACTATCCGAGATGCAAGATCTCATTGTTGCATGCATATTGAGGTCTATCTGGAAGAAGTGACCAGAATGCATTGATTAATTCTGCAAGATAAGGCCCTAACCCTATAAGACTTGCATGTGCTCTTAACTTTATACACTGTGAGAAGTCCCATTGAAACTGACATTAAGTCAAGCAATTGCATACATATTACAGGGTCAGAACTGCATGATGATATAAATAAGAATTGGATTCTAAAGGCATTAGCTAATTATTCTGAGTGAGGTAATAGACTGAGGAAATGGCCTCCTTGATGGACACAAGTTTGTAGTTTACACAGTTGAGGGTTCCTTAAGCTCTTGCTGGATGTTTATGCTAGGGATGTTAATTAACAATTAATTTACTAGTCGAGTAGTTGATTGAATTTCCATCGACTACTCAACTAGTCAATAGGCACTTCTGGATTCCTCCTTTGAAATGTACAAGAGACCCCAGGGGGGCTCTTGTGCATTTCAAAGCAGAAGCGCCAGCATGGATTCTGGGGTCAGCAGGGGACTCAAAGTCCCCTGCTGATCCCGGGCTCCATCCTGTGCTGCTGCTTTGAAATGCCACATGGAGCCCAGGATGAGCTGGGAAGTCCAGCTGACCCAGGGCTCCGCACGGTGCTGCCCCTTGGAAATGCCACCTCAGCGTTTCAAAGCAGTGCTGCATGGAGCTGATCATGGGCTCCATGTGGTGCTGCCCCTTTGAAATGCCGTGGTAGTGTTTCAAAAGGGTAGCTCCACACAGAGCCCGAGCTCAGCTGTGCAGCGCTGTCACTTTGAAGTACTCCCCCCCCTCCTTTGCTGTTAGAGGCAGCAAGGAGGGGGTGGAATCGACTAGTCCGTAACATCCTTAGTTTGTGTCTGTCTTCCCCAGCAACTCACAGGCAATTAACAATAAAAGCAGACTCAAAGGCAGTGTTGCAATAATCAGTGTTAACATCGAAAGTCTAAAATCTACTTTTGTAAATATAAGTAACTGTTTATAAAGCAAGGAATTACATACTGTGCTATCAAAAACTTTATTATCTTGGGTACAAGATATTATCTTGGGTCAATGTGATCTTGTACCTTCTCCTGTGTGTCACTAACAGTAGGCAAATTCATAACAGCAGCTTGGACAATGCAAGTCATGTATGGTGGTTTTTCTAAGTTGCATGCTCAAGCAGCCTGATCTGGTGCATGCAAATAGTAAATAACAATATGTATTGATTTAGACATGACTATACCTTCTCATTTGGGGTTCAAACATGCAAGGTGCTGAGTCCCTTCAGCTCAAGTCACTCAGCCATTACAGGAATTACTCATCATCACAGGTGGAGTCCTTTGTGCTCATCTCATGTCAATGGTAAAGAGACTTTTGTTGGTTCCTCTTTGTTGGTTCCTATTGCCAGGTCTATACAACAGTTTTGCTGGCATAGATGTTGGTTAGGACTGTGGGGAAAAAAAATCACACCCTAACCAAAAGCACTAGATTGCCAATGCCCACCTCTCCATATAGGCACAGTTTATACTGGTAAAAAAGCCTTTAGCTGATATAGCTTATGTTGTAGCTGATATAGCTTATGTTGTTCAAGGAAATGGTTTAACTATAGCAGCAAAAGAATTCCTCTTGCCAGTGTAAGCTGCCTCTACAATTAGGAGCTTTACGATCATAGCTATATTAGTAGAGAGAGTGTAGTAGTGTAGGCTAGTCTTATGACTTGGATAAATTCATTGTTATCACTTGCCTTGCAGACCAGTGTATTTGTACTGTGCCCAGCACATTGGAGACAAAATCCTAACAATGGGACTTATGGGTACTACTACTGTAGAAATATATAATAATAATGCATGAATGTTCATATATCTTCACATTGTTTGGTACTATTATGGATGTATATATTTTTTATTAGTTGGTAAAAAAGAATCTATGCTTTAGATATACATCTAATTGTTGCTTTTCATATGGTCATTTAACCCAGATACCTGAAAATCACTAATATAATTGAAAACCTTGCTCCTCATTCTACCTTCTGCTAATAAGAGCTAAAGCAACAAAACAAGATTGGTTTGTTGGAAACAGAATTAATTTTTTTGCTGCTACAAACAGAAATCATGTAACAAATGATCCATAAAACTCTCTTTCTACAATATTCTATCTATGCTGTACTCTTAGAAGTTGTATTCATTAAATACTTTTGTTAATTTAGGTGCACAGAATTATTTGCAGTAACGTCATAAAGGGATGTACCTTCAATTTTAAATTGTCAATAGTTGCACTAAATAATAATTATTCACTTCTGGGTGGGCCTAAAGTCAAGATCAACAGATCTTTAAAGCATAATGCTCTCAGAAGCTCTGTGCTATTATCTACTGAAGGTTGCTATAGCAATACAGCAGTTTGATTGAATTTCACCACCAGCAGTGCAGTGGGTCAATGTAAGGTGATATTGCTAGCTTAACAGTAGATCTCCCATAGCAACTTAATTAAATTCAAATACACAGAATGAGTCTCTCTAGTTAGGATGCAAAACAAAGTACAGATATATTTTATTTTGATTATTTCAGCCATTCCTGTTATGAAAAAAATCTTGTGGTTTTTTAATTCTTAAAGTTTGTGTCAAGGAATAATTGTGCAGAATATTATTTAGAGCCATAGCCAATTTATGTCTATATATAAAATCACTTACTATATGAAGAACAGTGTTTCCCCAAGGATTGTAGAATGAATTACAATAACATCAACTGACTGCAAATAGTAGTAGAAAACTGTCTAGATGAACTTAGAGGAGCATTCTCCGGGATGGTCTTTCTAAAGTTCAGCACTTTTCTTCCATTTTGCTTTTCAAATTAGGGTATGTCTACACTGCAGCCAAGAACAAGGTAATAAAGCTTGAGTTAGCATTAGCAGCGTTCAAGCTTGCGCACTAAAACTAGCACTCTATATTAGGGCTGTAATACTATGATGATTAACTGGTAAGCAAAAGCTTATAGGTTAATGCTATAGACTACATACATTTTCCCCTAAACCCTTGCCAGTGAATTTTTTAGCAGACTGGCCAGAGCCCAGCTCAGCCCAGCTGGCACTGGGTCCTGGACCTACCTCTGCTGTGGCTCTGCATTTAAAGTGTGTTAGGAGCCTGGTGGGCAGGCAGCCTGGCTCAGTTCCAGCTCCTGCCGGGTCTGAGAGCTCAGACCACTCCCTCCAGACAGGGGCTGCCTGGGGGGGATTTAAGTGCAATCCAGGATCTACCTCAGACCAGAATATCCTTGCCCCACTTCCTTAGTGCCCCTTGTGACGTAGTGGGGGTACTTGCTGGGCTGTGGTGACCCCTGCTGTCTGGAGCAAGATCCAGCAGGGAAAACCTCACTATGCAAAGGTAATGCAAAACTTGTTGAACCAGACACCCCCCATGGAGAGGAACAAAGGAAGGTGGAATGCTGCCCTGGCTGGGGGGCAGGGCTGGAAGAGGTTAGTTAGTGGCTATCTGAGAGCATGGAGGAGACAGCCTAGGGAAAGGGGCTGGAGTTTAGGGGCCCAGTCTCCCCCATCTCAAGGGGGCCTGAGGCATCCTAGCCCAGCTCTGTGACCAGATTACATCTGTGCTGTGCTGTATCCTGGAGAGGCAATAAACTTCCTCTATTCCACCGGCTGGTGCAGTCTGTTTGTGCCATTTCGGGGTGCAGGAGACGGGGGACCCCCAACGCGCCATCACACCCCTTCTCTGAGGCCCTGCCTCTACTCACTCCATCCTCCCCTCCCTTCATGAGGCAGGGACAGAGGGTTGGGACACAGGCTCTGGTCTTGAGCTAAGGGATTTGGAGTGTGAGAGGGGCTCTGAGCTGAGGCTGGGGCAGGGAGTTGGGGTGCAGGAGGGGGTTCAGGGTACAGGCACTGTAAGGGAGTTTGGGTCCAAGGAGGGGGGTTCATGACTGGTGAGGGGTTCGGGATTCTGGCTCCAGCTGGTCACTGCTTACCTCTGGTGGCTGCTGAGTGGTAGTGCAGTGGGGCTAAGGCAGGCTCACCCCTGCCCTGGGCGTGCACCACTCTCAAAAACAGCCAGCAAACTCCCTCCATCCCAAGCCCTGTGCCCCTCCATCCATTCTGTAGAGATAGAATACAGGGTGGAAGGGGGGGGCACCCTGACATCAGTGCGCCCCCTCTTCTCCCTTCCCTGCTCTGCATAGCAAGCAGGAGGATCCTGGGGCGGGGCGGGGAGAGGGGGGGCAGTTCCAAGGCAAAAGGCAGGAGCTGCGCAACAGTGGGGTTAGGGGCAGCTCAAGTGCTGTGCTTGATAGCCTCTTGGCCAAACCAGTCAGGATCACCCGTCAGAGGTTCCAAGATCTACTGATAGATCCCGATCTACTGGTTTGTGACTACTACATTAGGGTATGTCTACACTACCCCCCTAGTTCGAACGAGGCGTACAGATAGTTCGGATTAGGAAGCCTAATCCGAACTATCTAGTCCGTGCCGCGTGTAGCCGCGCGGCACCGGGTTCGCACTAGCCGGCTTTTAAAAATGGCGGCGCTGGCTTTATGCTAATGAAGCCCGGGAAATTCAAATCCCGGGCTTCATTAGTAAGTTCGGTATGCATACATTACCCCCCTAGTTCGAACGAGGGGGGTAGTGTAGACATACCCTTAGAGAGTTTATCTCCATGTGGCTAGCAGGAAGGTATTATTGTCCTCATTTGAGGCACAGAGTGATGAAATAACTTACTCGAGGTCACATGAAATGCCTGAGGCAGAGGTAGGAAGAAGAGCAGAAATGTATTAATGTTTAGAGCATAACTTTAGCAATGAAAAAAATAGTACTGTAGTTGCAATTGTTGCTGCTGTTGTGGTGTTTGTAATTTGTACCTGTGCGCCATCTGCAGGCTGTTTGAAGCTTGTGCACTATGTACACTAAGTGCACAAGTGGGTCCTGCTTAGCACAGAAGATAGTGATCTCTCTGCTAGACAGGAACTGTCACATCTTTTCAC